AGCAGGAATTAGGTATTTTATATGGTGGACATCCTACTGGGGCCTCTGGACAGGTTTTGTTCATGCTGGGGGCAGGGAAAATGAAAGGAAGAGACTTCAGCTGCCTGGTCCATATTTAACCTCCTCCTCAGGGATAAGAAGGAATCTGTGGAGTTTTTATAGGCAAAATGGTAGTGTTTTTTTTTTCTATCCATTCCAGATTTAATACTTTTCATTCAAAAAAACCCACAAAAGTCTTTGTTATTTCATTTTTAAGAACCAGAGGGAATACAAAGTTTTACCAATCCAATTCAGTTGTGTTCACACTCTGGTATTGCATCTCTCTAAAATATTAATGGTAATAGATCTATCATTAATAACCTCTCTGGCATTTCCTCTGCTGAAGCAAAATGTTAGTAAGTGGGTCATGAATTGATAGCCAAGGGGCATGCAACATAATTAGTGTTGTCCCTGGTTTTTGTCCTCTGCTTGCATCTGGTGGGCTGCTGGGGCATGCATGATGGACCAATAGTGGTTGATGCTGTATTGTGACAGAGATGAATTCCCTGGTAAGGAATTTGCACTAATGCAGTTGAGAAGAGCTTATGTTGGACCTTGTGAGGACCTCAAGCATGGGATATAAGGGAGAGAAAAGTATTCTCTCATTCAGTGCTGCTTAAGATCAAATTCAGCCACTTAGATGCTGGGAGCCCTGGGTTCCTTGCTGCAATCTCAGAAAGAGGGGAAGGATAGAAGGAGATGGATCCAAACTTCAGAGCAGAGATGGATTCTGTTGTCATGTTTCACGTGGTTTCCACAAAGTGGAGCCCTCTCCCTCACTGATTGTATTTTATCTACCAAAGACAAACTAAGTTCCCAATGATTTTGGGTACTCCAGGACGACTTTTTAATGTGGTCCTGGGAAAGGCTAGGTAGTCACAGTGCATGTCACACTTCGGTTGAATTTATGGTCCTAGAGCTGAACTCTCAATCCAATGTTTTAGTAGTGGGCAGTCTAAAATATCAATATTTAAAAGAAAAAGAGCATGATTTAAAACTGAAACCATCACACTTATTTTCCACTTCTAAAATTCCCTCTATGGCTTTTCCTAGTCCCCGCTTCCTGTTATGAACTGAAGTAAAATCTCTCAGTCAACCTTTTTAAGAGACTGTGAACCTCTTGTCTTACAGTGTGACAGGGTTGTGAAAGCATTTATGGAAACCATGGTAGAAGAGGCAAAGTGGGGAGCTTAAGACATGCTTAGGGGCTTTATTCTTCTCTTCTGGTAGCTGAAAATGATCTTGTAGGCATGGATCTTGCTATACACGGAGTGGAAAAGACTGATCTGTTCAGTAATGTCTTTTTCAGTCTTCACAAAAGTACTAGCTATGAGGAGAGGCTGATAAATGCAATCTCTAAATCAAAGCTGAAGGAGGAAAAGCAAGCACAGGCAAAACACAGAGAATATTGAAGAATATTTAGATTGCTGAGATAAATTAAAATGAGCAGGATCATCTGACATCTGGTGCATTTGGCTTAGGAAAAAGATATGCAGTTCCTGAACCTTGAAAGATTGTCCTTAAGAACAGTTAGGTGAGGTAAAGAAAATTTAAGGAAGTATAGAGATAATGCCTGTTTTTAGAAAGAGCAGAAAAGGAGTAACCCTTAAATCAGGTGAACTTGGATCCTAGAAACAATCCTCGACTAAATGATAAGATAAATAATGGTAAATGCCTACAGGAAGATGAAGTAAATTAAAATTACCAGCATGGATTTGTCAAGAACAAATTAAGTCAAACCAATCTAAGTTTCATTTTTAGGGAGAACAATTGGTGTGGTGGATAGCCGGGAAGATGGATTTTGATTTTCTGTAGGGCATCTTTGGCCCTTTTTTAATAGGATAGTCTATTACAAAATGCAAACACGTCAGGAAACACTGTCAGGACATCAGCTGAGCCCTCACTGCCACCAGGCAGGAGGCATACTCCATGTGTGGCCTCTTTTTACCAGCACACTATTTCTGGTTGTGTTTGCACAGTAGCTTGGCTTAACCAGGAGGACCTCATTCGTTGTAGCCCGAGTAGGCTGACACTTGTCAGGGCTGAGCAGAGGCAGGACTCCCATACCTGGCAGGCTGTTCAATAGATCACTAAGCTGGGATTCCCAGTTCTCACCGCCCCCATAACTGTAGTCCTGGCCATGCAGTTCTGTGCCTGTGGGAACCATTAAATGCAAACACACAGGGAGCTTTCAGACTAAGAAGGGGAGTTGTGGAATTAACTCATCATTCAAGGTCAAGTTGTCCAGACTGGTAAATGGACTGGATTGTCCACTAGATGATTTTGGTCCTGGCAGGGTTGGGTGGGAAGTGGATTAGATACTATTGCAGAGTAATAGGAGCAGAGGTCATGGTCACTGCAGAGATCTTGAAGGAACTGGTTTTGTTAAGTCCAGGAAGAGAAAATGGAGAAGGAACATAGTAAAAGTTTTCTGTAGATGAAAAGTTGCTTGGAAGAGGATGCCAATAAATTATTCTGTGTCCTCAGGAAAACAAATGTTATTTGCAGCAAAGACTTGGGTTTAATATTAAAAAAACATTCTAAAGTGCGATTGAGCCACATGAGCAGGCTACAGAGGGAACTTGTAAAATCCCCACGAGTTTAAATAAACTTCTGTCGGAGGTAGAACTCAGTACAGCTAGAATCAAAGCTGAGAAATGGGATGCGTGATGCTCTTAATTGCCTCCAGCTTTGTGCTTCAAGTGGATGCAAGTTCCTCTTCTAACTACATGGCTTTTTCTTCATTAGCTGTTAGGAACATAAATTTGTCCTGTTTAACTGGGACAACATCCATTTTATTCCGTATCCACTTTGACAGAAAGCTGAGAGTAGCTGTTTTCTTTGCTGTGTTAGTACCTCCATGAAAGTCAATTTTATTTTTTTGTCTAATATTTTTTATGGATGTCATCCTGACCAGAGGGCTTCTTTTGGAGAAGAGCCTTCAACAGAGATGTGGCACTCCCTGTCCTGATCCTCACAGTTTAAGGGCAGCAGTCTGCTGAGTCTGCTGTTGTTGTTCTAGGTCCAGCCAGGGGTCTTAGAAGCATAGTCCAAAGGAAGAGACACTTGTCTCTGCTCCAGGCTCCTCTGTTTATTATACTTCCAAGCAAAGCTTGCAGGAAGTGAAGCCCTCTGGTGTAACTGGGGAAAGGAGCTGTTTTCTCAAAGCCGTTTCTTAGAATTTGCTCAGAGATCAACGTTGTCAGGAGCAGGAGGTCAGAAACTCACCACTTTCTAGGCTGTTGGTCCTCTTCAAGAGATGGATATTTTGAGGTTTGCATAATATGTTTAGACAAAAGGATTAACTTCTCTGTAGAAGGATAAAAGGATTCTGATATCATTGTGCTGTTTGCAGCCAAGTTGGGGATAGTGGACACAAACCTCTTTTTGTTTTCTTTTCAGTCAGTACCGACAAGGTAGCAAAAGAAAAAGCCGCCCTGTGAGTGTGAAAACATTTGAAGATGTCCCATTGGTAACCACTGTAAAAGTTGTTCAGGAGGTGAGTTTGTCTGTTGTTTGTATGTTTTTTCCCATCTGTTGGTGGGTTTTGTGTGTGGGGTTTTTTTTTAATCCATTTCCATTTTATGCATTTCTAACACCTTTGCAGGAAAATCAGACAGATAGTGGGATGGTTCTTGCATCTGAAGAACTGAAGACATTGGAAGAGAGCGATAAACAAGGGAAAACACCCTTTAGGTAAGGCTCAGACTGCATGTAGGTTTGACTATGACTTTTTTCTTGCAGTATGTCAGAAGACTAATTGGTTTGTAAAATTTTTTAGAAGACAAAATCTTTTCTTACTGTATTTTTCAAACCCCAAATATTGTGCGCTGTATGCCTGGTCATCCACATCTAGTCCCAGGAGAAGAGAGGTAATGCAGCTGTTAGAAGCATCAGCTGGACTGCAGGAAGGGCTTGTATTTATCAGCTGAAAAAGCATCAAACACATCTTGAAGGAACTGAGCTGGTGCACACAACTGAGCATATTTGTGGGTGTCTGCCTGCAATGACAAAGAGCTCTTCTCTTTTTTTTTTTCTTTCTTTTTTTTAAAGTTGACTCTTGAGTTTTCAGGATGTACCTGCATATATTTTCAGAGCATTGTACAGGGCTTTCATTGTACAGCTCACAGGAAGCACCGCGGTGTACATGGAGCTGAAACCTCACGTATGGTCTCTCAGCGCTTCTCAGGAATTAATTTTTCCAGGACGATTTCAGTGCAAGCATAGGTGTACTTCAGTTAGGATTGCACCACAGCTGGAATGTGTGAAGCCTCTCAAAGTTTTCTCTCCCTTTCATTTGTGGTTGCAGAATCAAGTATCTTTTCCATGCATTAGTGAGGTTAGGGCATATAGAAAGGTCTCTCTTTATAATCAAATGCATGTTTGAGAAGGCTCGAAGACAGTTTTGCTAAGTGCACCATTTTGCTTTGGTTGTTGCTATGATGGAAAGCAGCTGCCGGCAGGAGTTGCCCATGTGCCCTTCTGAAGACGGTCTCCACAGCTCTCTCAGTCCTCTTTCTGCTTGGTTTGTGCAGCACGCTGGTGCCCAGCAAGAGTAATGAGTCCGTCATGTCCGAAGCCTCCAACCAGACGAGCGGGTACCAGTCGGGGTACCACTCGGACGACATGGACACCACCGTCTACTCCAGCGAGGAGACCGAACTCTTGTGTGGGCGGGAGGCTTCTCCGCCGCTGTGCCGCGCGCACGGGCCGGCCTAC